ACCAAGGTGCTCTGCTGTGGCACGCCATGGTCGTACACCTGCACCGTCACCACCATCTGCCCCCGTGCATTTTCCAAGGCCTCGCGGTCCAGCGGCTCCTTGCTGTGCAAAACACCCGTGATCGCGTCGATGGTGAAGTTGTCACTGAACAGTCCTGGCAAGATCTTGAAGCCCAACTCGCTGTTGGGGTTGTCAGGCTCGTCGTTGTCGATGGCCTATAAAGGTCCAGGGCTGGAACAGTGCTGTCTGGCCCCTCGGGGACAGTCCCTGCTCCTTTCTTACAGCCCTCCATCATTCCCTCCACCTCCGTTGGTGCATACCAGGATCTGCGTTGTGACATTCTGCCCCTCTTCCACTGAGATGAAGTAGGAGCCGATGACCACGGGTGCCATGTCATTGTCGTCCAGCACGGTGATCTCCAGCACTGTAGAGCCCACCAGGTTGCCCCCATCCTTGGCCTGGAGGTTGGCATAGTAGATGGAGCGAGTCTCCCGGTCCAGCAAGCTCCCATTCTGCACCAGCACTGCCCCGGTTGTGGCGTTCACCGTGAAGATTTGACGGCTATGGCAGACATGCAGCTGTCACTGGGGCTCAGGTCTGTACCCCACCTTGCCGGGTGATGCCCCAGTTGTGGCTGGCTGTGCCCCTACGTACATGCTCTCCGGGAGCAGCTGGTAGGTGATCTGGCCCAGGACACCGCTGTCCGGATCGTAGGCCTAAAAGATAGAAGGAAGCATCTGGTCAAACTGCCTCAGCCCCCAGAGAAGTGATGGGGTATCCGCTGATGGCAGTGGGCACCCCAAAAACATGGCCCTGATGGACACAGGGTCCTACACCCTCTGTGACCGCTCACACCATCTCCTTCCTGCGTGCACGCAGAGAGCAGTGCCCTCAGTGCAAGCTACACCAGCGGTGCCAGGCATGCCCGGTACGCTGCTTGAGGGACATAAGCTGTGCCTGCTTCCTGCCTAGCACCTGACCGTAATGTTTGAGGAGATGACAGTGCCATCAGGGCAATTCTCCATCACGTTGAGGTTGTAGGTGCTCTGGGGGAACTCAGGTATGTGGTCGTTGCTGTCAATGAGGTCAATGGTCACGGTGGCTGTGGAGCAGCAGTCTGTGGGGTTCCCTGTGTCATTAGCAATGATCTGCAGGATGGAGAAGGGACGGTGTCTCACATGGGTCCCAAAACATGAGAAAGAGACCTGTCACAGTCCAGCCCAGCGCCCCTGCACCAAACAAGCTCCCAGGGCAGAGCCATGTTCTGCTTTGGCATTTGAACCCCGCAGGAGAAAGGCTGTGTCTCTCCTGTGCACTGGCATATGCAGGGAGCAGGGACTGTCCCCATGGCGAACCTGTACCACCATGACATGGCTTATCTCATAGTCCACGGCGGATGGGTCTTGCACCAGGAGCTGGACCTCCCCTGTGCCCACGATCTTTGTCGGGGAGACAATGAAGGCGCTAGCATTTGGACCCTGCAGGTACAGCTCGTAACTGCTGTTGATGCCCTGCCAGGGAGAGACACACAGGAGTAAGGGTGTGTGGTGCAGCAAGGACAGACACCTACACCCCAGCCCAGCCCCCTGGACAGGCTCCCACCTTGTCCGGGTCATGGGCAACGATGCTGAGGTTGGACACGGGCAGTCTGGAGGAGGAGTGCTCTATGATGTTGCCCCTGAAGTTGTCCTGGGCACTGGTGGAGAAGTTGCAGCTGGAGAGGGAACAGTGGTAGAACTGGGGCTTGTTGTCATTGACATCGGTCACCACAATAGTCACCAGAGTGCTGGCCTGGGCGATCTTGCCGTTGATGTCCAAGTTTGCCTCACGTGCCTGGGCAGGAGGAGAAAGTGGGTTAGATGAGCCTGGGGAGAGGAAGAGGATGGGAGTCCCCTTGCTGCCTCTTACTCACCGTAACTTCCAGCAGCACTTCCTCGCTTGGCAGCTCCTCACGGTCCAGGGGCCCACTCACAGTGATGGTGCCCGTCGTGGCGTCGATAACAAAGGGGATGCTGGTATCTAGGGCAAGGGGACAGTGGGAACCAGCTGCAGACATCAGGAAACGCAGGCCTGGCCCTCTCTCTGCCAGCAGGGCAGGCTGACAGTGGCCGGGAGCCCAGAACCAGTCCCTGTGGTCCCTCTTGCTGCATTATCACCCCCCTTCCCATCCCACCCTGTCCCATCACTCACTGGTGATGTTGTAGGAGATTTCATCATTCACTCCCGTGTCTCTGTCTATGGCAGTGACAGTCAGCACAGTGGTGCCCTGTGGGGACACGACCATCAGGGCAGGACCCATGACACCTCCAGCTGTCCCTACGCCCAGTGGCCCAGATACCCTGGGGCATCAGAGCCCCCAGGGAGGGCCTGGGTAGGGACATGCTACTGGGGCAGGCAGGCTCCTGACCATGTCGCAATTCTCAGGCACAGAGCCGGAGTAGGGCTCACTGAGGAACCGTGGGTCCAGGTCGGGCACATCACGGATGGTAAGGGACAAATAGGTCGAGCTCTGCTGGAAGGTCAACACGTTGTGCAGCAACCCTCCACCATCCTGGGGAGCAGAGCACCTGTCAATCCCATGGCATCCTTACCTGGCAGCCCCATGCCCCCAGTCCAGCTGGCTCCCACCTTGGCGAGAATCTTGATCTGGTAGAAGGTGTTCTTGGCATAGTCCAGTGAGCCATTGAGCACCACGCTCCCGTTGGACAGGATGTAGAAGAGCCAGTGATTCTTCGTGCTGTCTGGGATCACCTGGGCAGGAGACATCACCCTGTGTCACCAAGGCAGGGTGCAGAGATGCGCCAGCAGATATGGGGGCTCAACCTCCATCCTTCTGCCAGGCTTGGCCCACAGGCTGTGGGGACCCCCTAGCACCTGGCTCATCCCCAGCTTCCAACTGTTTAGCATCTTGCACCCATTGCTCAGTGGGTGCAGAGCCAGCCCTCCTGACCCGACACGTACCCCTGCTCCCTTAGAGCCATGGGGCTGCCCCTGCCCAGGTGCCCCAGCACCTCTTCCCCATGGGGGTGGCTCAGGGGTGAGTTCTGTGTATGGCATGCCCTGCTCTGTGATGCTCTTCCGCTCTCCATCAGGCATGAAGCCCTCCTTGGTGCCAGGGAGCGGGCAGGCTCAGCCAGGAGAGATGGCTGAGTTGAGCCATGTTGTCTTCCCATTGGCACAGAGCTCTTGCTGGGGAGGTCCTGGTACCCCCAGTATCTTCCCGGCACCCCCCACCCCAGTACACTCAGCCCCCGGCCAGGACAGTGCCCAGGGTGTTGGGGCTCAGTGCTGCGCTCACCTCCTCGATGCTGTAGCTGACTTTGGAGGCATTCCCGGTGTCACTGTCATTGGCAAACACGGTGTAGATGATGCTGTCGAGTGGCGTGTTCTGGGCACACAAGGAGATGGTGGTGGCATTGCCCGAGAGAGCAGGGATGATGGTGTGGGGCCCAGCCCCTGCCAGCCCTGCTCTGGGGTGCTCTGGCCCCGCAGGGCTCCAGGGGCTGCCCAGTGCCATGGGCCATGCAGGGATGAGCTGCTGCCCTTGCTCATGCTAAGCAGAGGCTGGAAACCCCTGCCACCCTCCCTGGGGCTCCCTGGGAGTAGGGGCTGCGCCCCAGCCCTGGGGATGCCAGAGGGACATCGGTCTCAGCCCCACACCCCGTCTGCACCCTGATCTGGCCTCACCCTGGCCAGGATGGGGTGGCAGCTTGGGCACTCCCTGATCGGAAACTCTTCACAAGGGCAGAGTCCCAGCCACGCGCCAGCACCCCAGACAGGCACAGAGGCACCCGCCGGGAGCTGCCCTGGCACAGAGTGCGCCGAGGTCAGCCTCGCTGGCTGCACCGTCACCCCACGCCCAGGCACACCGTCACCGCATATGTAGGCATGAGGTCACCCAGTTCCCGGCACAACTGTGTCACAGGAGCCACCCAGATCCCCTGCCCTGCTCCCCACGGTGGCTGGGTGGTCTCGAGGAGGTACCTCAGGGATGGAGGTTTCATACGGCAGGCGCTGGAAAACTGGAGCGTTGTCGTTACGGTCCTCCACGATGACCGTGAGCTTTCTGGAGATCTACCAGGTGTCAGGGAGGGCACAGGATGAGCGCAGGATATGGTGCCTGGCAGAGCTGGGTGCAGCTCCAGCACCCTGCACGCCCCTAGCTCCGCAGCCAGCATCACCCACCCCTGCGCAAAGCCCACCTCCAGCCCGCTTCCCCACCAATCTTTGTCCGTGGCCCTGCTGAGACCCTGCTGTCCTCCCCATCCCCGTCCCCCGCTGCAGCCACCCAGCCCATGCCCTGGCACTCACCTCTGCGTTCGTCCCGTCAGACACCCCAACCGTGATGGTGAACCTGGGCAGGAGCTGGGGGAACACAAGGCAGCACTTGGTCAGGGTCAAGGGGAGCTTGGTCTTTGGATGGCTGAGCCCCAACGCCCTCCCAACCATCACCCCAAGGTGGGATGCTCCTTCCGGACGGCTCTCCCACACGGAGCTGGGCTTCAGGGCCACGGAGCGACCCCACAGTACTGCTGCGAGCAGCTCTCCCACAGGACTCATGGCTCTGCCCTTCATCTTTGTCACCCCAGACCCCACAGCTCAGGCAGGAACATCTGCCCTGGTCTTTGCCCTCACCTCACGGTCCAGAGTGTTCCTCAGAGTCACGTTGCCTGTCTGGGCATCAACAGAGAAGTAGAAGGCCTCCGTCCCACTGATACTGTAGGTGAGCGGGTCGCCGTCCAGGTCAGTAGCTGTCAGCTGGAAAGCCTGCTGGCCTGGGGGCACAGGCAGTGTCAGCCCCTGCCCGAGGAGGCCCCGGCCGCTCCTCCTGCACCCCAAGCCCTCCCTGAGACTGCCCCACTCACCCAGCTCCAGGTCCTCGGGCACGTAGACCAAGGTCATGCTGAAGATAGGGGCTGTGTTGCCTGAAACTACAAGGAAGAGGTGTGCTGAGCACCCCAGCACTGGGCTCTGCCTGCACCCTGCACCCCGGCACCCAGCAGCACTTACCTAGCTCCAGCCCCAGCTCCCAGCCATGGTTTGGGTCTCCAGGGAAGGCAGGAAACCCACCACCCCTCACCTTCCTCGTGCTCATCCCACACCTCCCACCTCTAGACCTCGCTTCACCTCCAGCTGCAGCACCCATGGTGGGTGCCATCCCCACTGCCTACTCTACCTTGCCCTGGGGCACCAAGGTTGCTGTTGGGTCTCCAAGGTGCCAACAGGGTGGGCAGCTGTTCTGGGGGTTCCAGCTGCCCTCAGGGAATTTGGAATGAATGCTGGGAACTGAAAGCACTTCCAATGCCTCCCCCCGACCCATGCCAGCCACCGAGCAATGTCCTCACCTGCTGCCAGGAGGAAGGGGAGCAGCACCAGCGAGCGCCATGCCATCCTGCCAGCGAGCCTGTGAGCACACACCAGAGAACCAGCACTTGGGGCTGATGGCTGCCTGCTCCCATCAGCCACCCCAAATCCCTCCTGGGAAGCAGCCCCTGGGGCAGGAGGGGCTCTGGTGGGGACAGTCCCCTCCACTGAGCTGGGCTGGTGAGCAAGTACCAAGCTCCATCCCACACCCCCAGGCACAGGCTTTCTGGAGACAGGGCATGGGGGAACAGGGTTGGTCTCCGGGTGCTGGAGACCATGGGGGTGCTTCAGGACCCCAGGAGCCTCTCCTGGGCATGGCTGGAGGCTCCATCACTTGGGCTCAAGAAGGCTATCCCAAGCAGCACCCCAGGGGCAATTTGTGACACCACGGTGGTACCATGGCCCATGGATACCCCCACAGCTGACAGACACCCCCGCCTCCCCCTGCGATGGACCGCAGTGGCCAGGGGGTCCAGGGTAGGAGCCAACATCCCTTACCTGTGGCTGCGTCGCTGGGGATGCTGCTGGGCGAACTGCGAACTGCGTCGCACCCTGACACCGGCAGAGACCTTTGCCTCCTGCAGTAAACATGTTCATCAATTATTAACTGCAATTAAGGGGCGAGAAATCCCTCTTTCATCTTCCTTATTCTTTGCACTCATCCTCCAGCTCCTGCCCAGCCCAGCCCCACGCTTGCTCGCTCCCCAGCCTCAGCCCTCCAGGTCCCCATGCTGGGTGCTGTCCCCCAGGATTTGGCCACCCCAGCCTGCACCTGTAGGGATCCATCTCCCAGGAGGGAGGCAGAGCCTGCGGGGATGCAGAGGGATCCTGAATCACCCCAGGGGACCAGAGAGGGACTGGGGAAATGCCCCACATCCCCTGGGCTGGGGACACCGGGGTCTCACCAGGACAGGGAGTGGGCACCAACTCAGTGGTGTGACTACTGGAGAGGGTGCCTGGGGCCCTCTGCACCTCCTGCCACCCGCTCCCCTCCCTGAGGGCTTGGCCCAGCCTCCCTGACCTACTTTGGACCCACTGAGGACAAGGATGGATTGTGCTGCTCCACTCAGGCAGAAGAGGGCTGGGAGGCCTGGAGGGGAACATGGACATCCTCAGACCCACGAGACCCCTGTCTCTGTGGCCCTGGCCCCCTTTGTTCCTATCCCTCTGGGAACACGTGGGATCCAGGCACCAAGGCAGCTCTGGGGTACCCCTGACATCCAGCCTGCTCTGAGGTCCCCATCTCACACCACAACTAGGGCAGAGAGTCCCCGGAAAAGGGACTACAACAGTGCCAGCTGGGGATTCTCCTCCACGCAATCCTCTCCAGAGCTGCTCCAGGATCCCCCTAGCACCCGTGAAGGCTGTCCCAGTGGGAAAGTGCATTGTCGCAGACACCCCGTGGGCTGCCTGTGGGTACCCCAGGATCATAGAATCATAGAATGGTTAGAGTTGGAAGGGCCCTCAAAGATCATCTAGTTCCACCCCCCTGCCATGGGCAGGGAAACCCTCCACTACTCCAGGTTGCCCAAAGCCTCATCCAACCTGGCCTTGAACACTTCCAGGGATGGGGCATCTACATGAGCGGATGAACGCTCCGGGGTTGGTGCTGGACACTCCTCTGCAAACTGCCCCTGGCTGTCCCGGAACCCCCCCACACCTCCCAAAGGCTGGCCCGGGAATTCTTCCCAGCACACTCCCGGGCCAGCGTTTTTGTGCGCTGCCACTCGGAGCATTACGGTCGGAGCGCCCCGCCGCGCGGTTTGGGCGGCGCCGCTCTTGGACGCAGTACGGCGAGGCGGAGGGGGCGGGCGCGCCCATTGGCGCGGCGAGGCGGGGGGAGCGTGGCCGGTTCCATCGGAGCAGCGGGCGCGGGGGTGCCATGAGGCGGGGCTGAGGCCGG